GGTCCCCTGAGCACCGCCAGGAGTAACTCCTGAGTGCAGAGCCAGAAGTAACCCCTGTGCATCGCCAGGTGTGACCCAAAAAGCAAAAAAAAAAAAAAAAAAAAAAAAAACAACAAATAAACAAAAAAGACCCTGTCACTTTTCTGCTTTTAAAAAGGAAAAACCAAAGATGTCACTTGCAACCACTCCACCGACAGCCGAGACTAGCTGTGTTTCTCCTCCGAGGTGGACAGGGTGGGGGTGGGCGCCTGGGAGGGCTCTGTGCCTTTTAGGCCTTTGCTCAGGAATCTGGCCGTCAGCACAGGAGGGCAGGGCTGGGCCAGGGGTACCGGGGGGCGGGGGGGCCTCTGGAGGGCAGAGACTCCCTGTTGCAAGGTGAAGGCTTGTGTGAGGCGATGCTATCTCAACCAACGCGCGTTCCCTCAGCCAAATGCGCCTCCTAGAACTGGCCAGGAGGGAAAATCCCACCTCAGTGTGTGCAGTCCCGAGGAAAGTGTGTTGTAAGCGTGTGTTCGTGTGAGTGTGTGCTCATGTGCACGTGCTCGTGTGTGTGCATGTGGGTACTTACAAACGCATGCCAGCATGTAAGCATTTGTGTGCCTGCACACGTGATTGTATGCATGTGTGTCCATGACCGTGTGTAGTTGCAATTGTAAAACTTTTGTTGTTGTTGTTGTCTGGTATGGGGCCCACAACCAGTGGTGCTCAGGGCTTCCTCCTGGCCCTGGATCAGGGGATTCTGGGGGGGCTTGGGGACCCTCTGTGGTGCCAGGGGTTGACCCCAGCTCAGCTGGTGCAGCAAGAGCCCTGCTCCAGCCCCTGGATAAGCCGATTGCTTTTAGCACTGGACTGTGTACCAGAGACGAGTCTCAGCTGGTTTTTCAGAGCCGTTTAGACCCACATGTTCAGCTCCCCAGGCCTCCCTGTTCAGAATTTATAAGAAGTAGGGGCGCAGTCTTTTTTTTTTTTTTTTTTTTTTGCTCTTTGGATCACACCCGGTGATGCACAGGGGTTACTCCTGGCTCTGCACTCAGGAATTACTCCTGGTGATGCTCGGTGGGAGGGGACCATATGGGATGCTGGGAATCAAACCCGGGTCGGCCGCGTGCAAGGCAAATGCATTACCCGTTGTGCTATCGCTCCAGCCCCATTGGGGAGGGGCACAATCATGGGGGACACCCATCACACATGGCACGTTATTTACCTTGGAATCACTCTGGGCTTTGACAGTGGACGAGTTCTAGCCCTTTAGACAATCTAGAATCTTCCACTATCGAACCCGATTCTACCCTCAGGCTCACACAAACACCCTCAACCTCGTCCTGCTTTTGCACAACCTCCAAACCGGAAAGAATGTTCCAAGCTCAGACAAATGACTCTCCCCCTCCTCTCCCCCACCCCGTCCGGATCTCGGTTCGAGCATTCCAAAGGCTGTGATTTGAGATGGCTGCCTCTGGGGGTCCTCCTGCGGTTCCACATTGCTGCTCTCTCTCTCACATTGCAACATTTTTTTTCCTTTTTGGATGGGTTAGAGCGATAGCATAGCAGGTAGGAGGGCATTTGCCTTGCCCATGGCCAACCCAGGTTCTATTCCTCTGTCCCTCTTGGAGAGCCCGGCAAGCTACTGAGAGTATCCCACCCGCATGGCAGAGCCTGGCAAGCTACCCATGACGTATTCGATATGCCAAACACAGTAACAACAAGCCTCACAATGATGACGTTACTGGTGCCTGCCTGAGCAAATCAATGAACAACAGGACAACAGTGCTACGGTGCTTTTTGGGTCACACTTGGTGATGCACAGGGGTTACTCCTGGCTCTGTGCTCAGGAATTACTGGCAGTGCTCGGGGGACCATATGGGATGCTGGGACTCGAACCTGGGTCGGCTGAGTACAAGGCAAATGCCCTACCCGCTGTGCTATTGCTCCAGCCCCACATTGCCACTTCTAGAAAGCACCTTGGCTCCTGCAATGCAGTCCCCAGGATCCCAGCCTGACTTCCATCCACAGGAAGGGAAAACCTTGGTGGGAATTGGGGGAGCACCTCACCACACAGCTTGGTGAGGGAGAGGGAGGACATCAACGAACCCAGAGCTGGGTTTATTCTCCGAGACAAGAAACAGCTACTCAGACCCAGCCTTGGGTCCCAGGGTAGACGTGGGGTCCCGTCAGCCTCACCTCATTTCTATTTGATCCTCTCACCAGAACCACACAAGCCACCGCCTGGCTTTGCTTGGAGTCGGGGCTTGAATTCTTGCAGCCTGGCCGTTTGCCAGTCTATAAATACCCGTAATGGATTATTTCCTCCTTTGATTTTAGAACCCAAACGAACAGACTCTGGGCCCCAGGTTCATAAAACCACCGTCATGAGCAGTGGCCACAGCACTTCTAAAGAATCGAGTTCTAAATTTAGAGAGGTATTCCTCAGCAGAAAATCATCCCAGCCACTTGCTTCTAATATATAATTAAGCCCTCCCTAGATACTTTGCAGTAATGTTTTATAGCTTATTTTGAGTGTTCATATTTTATCAGAAAATTATAATTTTCCTCTAAATAGGAGTTGTTGGGGTTTTTTTTTTTTCCTCCCAAGGCTTTTGAATGATGATGGCTGGCTTCATGTTTCAACTATAATTAAAACAGTGAAAAGAAAGAGCAGAAGCATATATCATATGCAGATCTGAGGAGTGCCTGGTTCCCCCCGACATCCCTACCTCCCACACTTGGCAGCCTTTGGCCCGGGGTAGGCTTTGATCCACTGTGGGGTCCCCAGTTTTGACCACTGAGTGGGAGTCGCCGAGGAAGAAAGGAGGAGGCAACCACATCCTGGTCGTTCTCCAGACCCAACTGAAACCGCGCCTCCTCCGAGAAGCCCTCCAGACTGCTCAGACCCTGCCCTTTCTCACTTTCCCACCCATAGTGACGACCTTTGTGTATTTGTGAGCTCACTGCCTCCCCACTTGACTCCCAGCTCCAGGAGGGGCCAAAGCAGGGGCTCCTTTACCCAACACTTTATAATCAGCTGATTTTTGGGGTGGGAGGGTACACCCAGAGGTGCTCAGGGCTTGCTCCTGGGTCTGTACTCAGGGATCATGCCTGGTGGACTCAGGGGGATCATACAGGGTGGTAGGAATTGAACCTGGGTGGACTGCACACAAGGCCAACACCCTTCCTGCTGGACTACGGCTCTGGCACACACAGAATATTCTTTTTTTTTAAATTTTTTATTAGTGAATCACCGTGAGGTACAGTTACACACTTACAAACTTTTCTACTCGCGTTTCAGTCATACAATAATTGAGTACGGCTGGAGCGATAGCGCAGCCCATAGGGCGTTTGCCTTGCAAGCATCCAACATGGCCGACCCAAGTTCAATTCCTCCACCCTTCTTGGAGAGCCCGGCAAGCTACTGAGAGTATTTTGCCCACACGGCAAAGCCTGGCAAGCTACCTGTGACATATTCGATATGCCAAACACAGTAACAATGGAGACGTTACTGGGCCCGCTCTAGCAAATCGATAAACAATGGGAGGACAGTGACAGTGACAGTGACATCCCTCCACCAGTGCCGATTTTTCACCACCAATGGTCCCAGCATCCCTCCCACCACCCCCACCCCATCTCCTCCACCCTACCCTGCCTCTGTGGCAGGGCATTCTCTTTTGCTCTCTCTCTCTCTCTTTGGGTGTTGTGGTTTGCAATAGAGGTCGTGAGTGGTCATCATGTTCATTCTATAGTCTACTTTCAGCACGCATCTCCCATCCCAAGTGGGTCCTCCTGGCACCCTTTACTTGGTGGTCCCTTCTCCATCTGAGCTGCCTTTTCCCCCAGCATGTGAGACCGGCTTCTAAGATGTGGAGTGATCTTCCACACAGAATATTCTTTGGAAGCAACTCTATTGGATGGTGCTACTGAAGAGTCCCTTACCCCTTCCCCTGTCCACCCCCAACCCCCATCTTCACTTTCCCACCCCCCCCACAGCAAGGCTCTCAACATGCAGGACTGTCCACCTCAGCCCCCACTGGCCAACCCAGCACCCCTTGCCAAGGAACCCAGATTGGGCACCTGAGAGATGGACCCACTGTGTGAGAGCTCAGGCTTTGCTTGGGAGAGACACTGGGTTGGATTTCTGGGACCACCTGGTCCCCTGATCACTGCCAGAAGCGACTGAGCCACTGAGCTGGGAGCAGCCTGTGAGCATTGTTTTGGGCACGACCCCAAAACAATAAAAAAATATCCAAATCTGGAATTCAGTTTAGATTCAGGAAGCTGGCTGTCCATTCCGGGGACACCATTCCCAGGGACACCATTCCCGGGGACACCGGGCAGCAGGGATTGGGGTGGGGGTTGCTGCAGAGCCCAGGGAGGCTGCCAAGTGTTGGGTCAGTGAAGCCCCAGGTTCCAGGAAGCCCTGGGCCAGCAAAGCCACGCACAGCTCCCTGGAATCTTCGGCACATTACCCATGAGGCCTGGGGGCCCCCTTCCATGAGCTTGTCAGAGAAAGCAAGGAGGAGGAGGAGGAGGAGGAGGAAGAGAAGAATGAGGAGGAGGAGGAGGAGGAAGAAGAAGAGGAAGAAGAGGAGGAGGAGGGGAGGAGGAAGAGGAGGTGGAGGATAGGAGGAGGAAGTGGAGGAGGAGGAGGAGGAGGATGAGGAGGAGGATGAGGAGGGGAGGAGGAAGAGGAAGTGGAGGGGAGGAGAAGGGGGGAGGAAAAGAAGAAGGGGAGGAGGAGGAGGAAGAGAAGGAGGAGAAGGAGGAGGAAGAAAAGGAAGAGGAGGAGGTGGACGAAGAGGTGGAGGGGAGGAGGAGGAGGTAGAGGGGTGGAAGAGAAGGAGGAGGAAGAAAAAGAGGAAGTGGAGAAGGATGAAGAGGAGGAGGAAGAGGAGGAGAAAAAGGAAGAGGAGGAGGAGGAAGAGAAGGAGGACTTCCCAGTGCCTGGAGGTCTTCACCCCAGCTGGCCTTGGCCCCTGTGTCCTCACCCTCTGCCTGTTCTTCTCTGCCAGGCGTCCGGTCTAGAGTGCAAGCCGTTGACCGACAGCATCCTGTTCCTCCGGGACTCACGCTGGGAGGAGGTTCGGGGCGTGCTGATTTCCGTCTTCAGTGCCGAGAAGATGACCGAGGTAATGTCCAGGAGCTGCCGCTCCTCCTTGGGGACCCAACACCAGGCCAGAGACCTGTCGTGTTGCCCTCCCCACTCCCGGACTTGCATGCTCCCGGGTGGGACTGGGTTCCTTGGCCGTGTCCCCCACCACAGGGTCTGTAAGCAGGCAGGGCACCCCAGGCCTGAGATGTGCCCCGCTACCCCTTGCAGGTGAGGGTGCCTGGAAGGGTGTTTCTCCTCCAACACAGTGAGTCCTTCACCTGGTGAATGCGGTGACCGCAGCGAATGCGGTGAATGCAGTTCCCAGGCACAGGGTCTGGGGTGGCGCCTGCCTCCCTGCATGTCTGGAAGCTTCTGGCCACAGACGGCTTCAGGACAGAGCCCAGCGCTGCTGCCCCTGCTGGGGGCCGCTCCAGGGAAGGGGTTGGGAGTAGGGGCAGGAGGCAGCGGGTCCCCAGCTCTGTTGGCTGGCAGGATTCCATCGTGGAGAGGGGACCTGCCCGAAGGCTCCGGGCACCTGCCCTTACCAGTGAGCGGCCACACCACCAGCCCTCGACTCTGCCTCCCTCCTCACGGGCTTCCCCCAGGAGCCCCTTGATTGCAGCTCTGGCTCCGCGTCAACCCCGAATTCTGAACCAGCTCGGGGTGTGCGTAGGGGCGAGTGCCTGGTAGCTAAGGGGCCGCTCCCATGCGAGGCCAGACCCCAGGAACTGCAGAGCCAGGAGCGCCCAGAACTTTCCACCCTGCCTGGCTGTTCAGGGATGCATAAACTCGCCGTGTCCGCGGCTCCGTGGATGGGCCCTGCATCAGCCTAGAACACCAGAGCCCCAGACTGCGGGTCACCTGCCTTCCGGGTGTCCTCCCAGGGTCAGCGGGGCCAGAGCTGCAGCCCCAGTGGCCCTGCTGGGGGTGACGGCTGTGCTGGCCAGGCCGGCAATGCTCCAGCAACCTGGGTGTAGACACACGTGTCTGGGTCCAGCCCTGTGAGAGCAACACAGCTGACAGCCTCATTGTACAGGCAGCAGGCACCGAGAGAGTGGGTGAGGTGCGCTTGGCCACACGTCGAGCTGGGGCAGAGCCTACTGGAATGCGCCGTGATGTATCCTTGCGTCTCCTCAGGACACACTCCATCCATGTCTCTCCTTAGACCATGCTGTTCACTACTTTTTTTTTTTCTTTCTGGGTCACACCCGACAATGCACCAGGGTTACTCCTGGCTCTGCACTCAGGAATTACTCCTGGCAGTGCTTGGGGGACCATATGAGATGCTGGGAATCAAACCTGGGTCAGCCATGTACAAGGCAAACACCCTACCTGCTATGCTATCGCTCCAGTCCCCCACTACTCCATAGACCACACTCCATCCATGTCTCACCTTAGACCACACTCTGTCCACTTCTCTGACATCCCCAAGCACCCGTGGACCATCTCAGGGGCTGTCTGGAGGCTGGAGAGAAGAAAAGACCATCAAAGGGGTCTCTGAGGCCCTGGGTGGGGTGGGGGAGGCGGGGATTGTGGATCTGAACCAACCTCCTCTAGCTCAGCCCCAAATTGGGACCAACCATGGCACAGACACAAAACCAAAACCAAACCTCTCCCTCCTTGCTCAGAATTCCATGGGCCCACAGTCTTGCTGATGCTTCACGCAGACTGGGATGCTGCTGTCTCTACCAGTCGGGGGATCCCCTAGCCACGGGAGTGGGGAGCGGGACTCCACTCCAGTCTGCTAATGAAGTCCTAGAAGAGAGGAATTCAGGGACGCAGAGGTGCTGCTTAAGGGACTGAAACACATGGACCAAAGAGCCTGTGGCAACGTGCCACTAATGCACCGGTGCTTCATTCCCATATGGGGCCCCTGGGGAATTTTCTGCACACACCTCTAAACTCAGGCACTCCAGGGCTGGAGCCATAGAACAGTGGGTAGGAACTTGCCTTGCACATGGCCGATGCAGGTTTGATCCCGGGCATCCCATATGGTCCCCTGAGCACTGCCAGGAGTGATTCCTGAGCACAGAGTCAGCCTGGAGTACTGGCAGGTTTTGGTTTTAAAAACCCAAACCCAAACCAAAAAAAAAAAAAAACCCAAAAGCCTAAATTCATGCACTCCACAAGGAAGGAGTGTCTCCCTACCCAGACACCCTGGGCTGCGGCTTACAGCTCAAAGAGCTGACCATTGATCTTCCCTAAGCCAGCTTCCCTTTGGGGCTCTGAGCTGCAGACTGTCTCTGCCCCAAGGCGTGGGAAGGATGGAGGACAGGTAAGAGGTCAGTTGGGGGCTTCCAGGCATGAGTGTCCCCCATCGCCTCCTTCCCCGGCATGCACAGCCCTCCTGGTTTCCAGAAGCTTCCTTCGGCTTTATTTTATTTTTAAAATATTGAATCACCACAAGGCACAAAGTTCTGGAGCTGCTCAGGATGGAGTGTCAGTTGTTCTCTGTTCTAGCGGCCATCGCTTCGCCAGTGTCCACTTCCCTCCATCATTGTCCCCAGTGTCCTGCTTCCTTTGACCTTAACCCCCAGTTAAAGTCATTCTAGGTCGCTGGCTTTCAAACCTGGCTCACCCCAGCTTACCCACCTACCTACCAATCAATCAATCAATCAATCAATCAATTTATCTATCTGTAGAATAACTGCCACAGGGAGATCAGGTTTATCCGGTTACACCCATCACAGTGCTCCTAGTCACTCCCATTCCTCTGTTTATCTGTAAACTCTTCTCTGTGCTCTCCTCCCCAGCCAGTTAATCACCTTTTCTCCCTAATCAGATTCTGTTAGCTTGTAAGATCAGATCCTTCTAAGGACACTGAACTTGTATTGTAAGTTATGTCCTTTGCATAGTTACCTTAAGGCAATGTCCTTTCTGTATGGACACAGGAAAACAGTTAATATTATGCTTTGTAACTTGGGAATTGATTGACTCCGAATAATATTTACTCCTGGGCATCTGCTTTCTTGACTCAGTTGCCCTTAGTTCCTAGCACCCCAAAAGCAGGGTACCGACGAGGGACTGAATGGACCCAGGGCAAGCGGTGAGCTACCCTGGCATCGAAATGGGCCAGGCCAAAGCGCCACATACTCAACTATAAGTTGAGGGCATGATCATGGACAAATGCTGTCATGATCCAAAAGTAAGTAACGACGAGACTAGGACCCTGCTGGGGCTAGGAAGACTAACTTGGCCTGAGGACTGTAATCTATCTATCTATCCATCTATCTAATCTATCTATCTCTCTATATGTACCAGGGTCACCCCAACTTCTTGTTAATAACACATCATGCTATACGCACCCCAGGACCTACTGCAGGATGAGAATTTCCCCAGGGTGCCTGAGGCCCTCTGTCCATGCTTGGTCTGGCCAGATGCTGATAAGAGCCAGGCTGGAAAATGAGGGCCTGGAGTCTCCACCTGGGTCCCTCGTCTGACCCCCCTCAGCCCGCAGTTCCGCAGACTCCTGAGAGCCGGACCTCGGCACTCCCTCCCCCGCCCTTCTCTGCTTTATTTTCCTCTGTGGTGCTATCACCTGCTAATATCCCATTTCTGTGACTTATTTTTCCCTTCCTTGTTAATGGAATGGCACCAGGCCCGTCATGGGCACTCAATAATGATCTGCAGGATGAATGGATGGACGGGAAGATGAAGATACAAAGAACCAGGCAGCTGGCCACCTCGGGATGCGGGATGCGTGTTAAGATGACAATAAAAGGGAAGTGATTTTGTCAAGGACGAATTAAGTAACAGGAGGCTGTGAATTGTTGGCTTTCTCTGTGGAGCCGGGAGGAGAGAGGCGGAGGGGAGAGGAGAGGAGAGCGAGGTGCGCAGGGAGGCAGGGGTGAGGGGAGCTGAGGGAAGGGGCCAGGCTGGGGAGCAGCTGGCAGAAGCACCTCCAGCCTGCCCTCCCCTTGTTGTCGGTATCTTGCTCCGTTTTCCTGAAAATAGCTTAGAAATATCATTATCTGCAGTCCTTTCCAATCTCTTCAATAGCTTCGGGATGTTTATTCGCCAACTTCAGGGTTTATTCCTGAAATATAGATTTGTCTTCCCTGGGCCTCTCTCTGGAGCTTTTTCCTACCGGATCTTGGCAGCCTTTGGCCCGGCCCCAGTCATTAATAGTCATGAGCTCTGGGAGGAGACCGGCTTGCTTGCTTGCTTTCCTTCCTGCTTTCCTTCCTCCTTTCCTTCCTTCTTTCTTTCTTTCTTTCTTTCTTTCTTTCTTTCTTTCTTTCTTTCTTTCTTTCTTTCTCCTTCCTTCCTTCCTTCCTTCCTTTCCTTCTTTCTCTCTCTTTCTTTCTTTCTTTCTTTCTTTCTTTCTTTCTTTCTATATTTTGCTATTGAATCACCATGAATTACAGAGTTACCAAGTTATTTGTGACTGACCTTCAGGTGTACAATGTTCCAACACCAATCCCTTCGCCCCAGTTACCCTCCGTCTCCCCAGTCTGCCCTGGGTAGAATTTTCTCTGCAATGTCCTGTTGTTCCCTTCCCCGACCTCCCCCGGAAGCAGACTTCCTACCGGAAACCAGTTCTTATGCTCTCTGTTCCTGTTGCCTTTGGGAACTTGTTATTCCTCAACTCTTTCTTTCCTGCTTCTATTTTATTTTTATTTTATTTTATTTTTTGCTTTGGGTCACACCCAGCAATGCACAGGTGTCACTCCTGGCTCTGCATTCAGGAATTATCCCTGGCGGTGCTCAGGGGACCATATGGAATGCTGGGACTCGAATCTGGGTCAGCTGCGTGCAAGGCAAACGCCCTACCCTCTGTGTTATCACTTCTTTCCTTATTTCCTTTCTCTCTCTCTCTCTCTCTTTTTCTCTCTCTCTCTCTCTCTCTCTCTCTCTCTCTTTCTTTCTTTGAAACCTCACCCAGAGATGCTCATGGATCACTCCTGGTGGTGCTTGGGGGACCAAATAGGATGCCAGGGATAGAACCTGAGTCAGCTGCATCCAAGGCAACCACCTTACCTGCTGTACTATCACTCTGGCCCCCAACTATGTCCCTTTTTTTGCTTATTTGTTTGT